GCCTGATGATCAGGAGCCTGGGTCTGTGTTTGTCTTACTACTCCAGCGTGTAGTTCCTTGTCTAGTGTATAATCGATGCTCAGTGAATGTCGAGTGTGGAAAGATTGAGATTGCAGGCTCAGAATAGCATGAGAGACTATTAGTGTCATCTCAGGTTAAGATCTCAGGTTAAAAGGTTGATATCCTAGGGATGCCTGGGTGGCTCAGTGGTTGAGCATCTGCTCAGGGTGTAATCCCAGGGTCCTGGGATTGCGTCCCGGGTCGGACTCCCTGCATGGAGCCTGCTTCTCCCTCTGCCTGTGTCTCTGCCTCTCTCTCTCTGTGTGTGTGACTATCATAAATAAATAAAAATTAAAAAAAAAAAATCTTTAAAAAAAAAAAAAGAAGTTGATATCCTGGACCACAATCAGTGTGGTGGGGAGGATTTGCAAAATCTTTAGAAAATGAGCACAGGGGACTTGGAGACTGAGAACATGAGAAGATGTGGGAAGCTTAGGGGAATAAGCCATGATCTTCCTGGTTTGAGGCTGGGGCTGGGGCTGGAGCTGAGTAGAGGCTGGTAACAGTCAATGGAGTGAGCAGTGGAGTGAAAAGCATTGAGTAAGAGGGGCCTTGCCAGGCAGCCAGAGGGCAGTTGAGGGTCATGGGAGCCTTGGCTACCGATGTGGGGGCCATCTCTCCTGGTTTTTCATGTCAGTGTTGAATATGCTCACATCTGAGCTGTATGGAAGAAGCTCTTGGAAATCCAGAGGGGTTCTGCTATGTCCCAAACATGGGAGGATCACCTTTGAAAACCCCCTCTTCCCTAGGGGAGGGAGGGTGGGAAGAGTGCATAGAGGCAGATGCCACTGCAGATTTGGGATGAAGGCTGCGAGGGTTCCTGCTGGAAGCATGAGAAGTTAGGTGAGGTGAGGAAGAGGCTGTGTTTGAGGAAGCCAGGTTGAACCGAGGTGTCTGGAGTGACTGTAGGCACCTGAAAGTCCGCATTAAAAGTCCAGCTGAAGCTGAGGCCAAGGGTTTTCCAGGGTTCAAACTAGCAGGATTGTGTGTTCTAGAGCATTCACAGGCTACATTATATACCCGAATTTTGCCTGCCCGTGTCTCTTCATGGCTTACCAGAGTTGAGTGAGGTTCTGATGTGGCTCTCTGCTTCTGTCTAGGTGAGGGGCCAGATGTCCTGGTGTACAGCCTCGATTTTGGTGGCCATCTGCGGATGATGAAGCGTGTGCAGAACCTGCTTGGCCACTATCTTATCCATGGGTTCCGGGTGCGACCAGAACCAAGTGGAGACGTTGACTCGGAGGCTATGGTGGCTGTGTTTGGGAGCAAGGGACTCCGAATTGTGAAAGTTAGCTGGGGACCTGGCCACTTCCGGGAGCTCTGGCGCTCTGGCCTGTGGAACATGTCTGACTGGATCTGGGATGCACGTTGGCTTGAGGGCAACGTGGCCTTGGCCCTGGGCCATAACTCAGTAGTGCTATATGACCCTGTGGTAGGGTGCATGCTGCAGGAGGTACCCTGTACAGACAGGTGCACCCTCTCCTCAGCCTGTTTGATCGGGGACACCTGGAAGGAGTTGACCATAGTGGCAGGTGCAGTTTCCAATCAGCTCCTTGTCTGGTACCCAGCAGCTGCTTTAATAGACAATAAGCCTGTGGCCCCTGACCGACGAGTCAGTGGGCATGTGGGTGTCATCTTCAGCATGTCATACCTGGAAAGCAAGGGCTTGTTGGCCACAGCTTCAGAAGACCGAAGCGTCCGCATCTGGAAGGTGGGTGACCTGAGGGTGCCTGGAGGTCGGGTACAGAATATTGGGCACTGCTTTGGGCACAGCGCCCGTGTGTGGCAGGTCAAGCTCCTAGAGAATTACCTTATCAGTGCAGGAGAAGACTGTGTCTGCCTGGTATGGAGCCATGAAGGTGAGATCCTTCAGGCCTTTCGGGGCCACCAGGGTCGTGGGATTCGGGCTATAGCTGCCCATGAGAGGCAGGCCTGGGTGGTAACCGGGGGCGATGACTCAGGCATCCGGCTGTGGCACCTGGTAGGGCGTGGGTACCCGGGTTCAGGGGTCTCAGCTCTCTGCTTCAAGTCCCGTAGCAGACCAGGTACCCTCAAGGCTGTGACGCTGGCCGGCTCGTGGCGACTACTGGCAGTGACTGATACAGGGGCCCTGTATCTCTACGACCTTGAGGTCAAGTGCTGGGAGCAGCTGCTGGAGGACAAGCGCTTCCAGTCCTACTGCCTCCTGGAGGCAGCCCCAGGTCCTGAGGGTTTCGGACTTTGTGCCATGGCCAACGGGGAGGGTCGTGTCAAGGTTGTCCCCATCAACACTCCAACTGCAGCCGTGGACTTGACCCTCTTTCGTGGGAAAGTGCATAGTCTGAGCTGGGCCCTGCGTGGTTACGAGGAACTCCTGTTGCTGGCATCGGGCCCCAGTGGTGTGGTGGCTTGCCTGGAAATCACAGCCGCGCCCACTGGCAAAGCCATCTTTGTAAAGGAACGTTGCCGGTACCTGTTGCCTCCAAGCAAGCAGAGATGGCACACATGCAGTGCCTTCTTGCCCCCTGGTGACTTCCTGGTGTGTGGGGACCGCCGGGGCTCTGTGTTGCTATTTCCCTCCAGACCCGCTCTGCTCAAGGATCTTGGGGTTGGGGGCAAGGCTGGAGCTGTCACTGGAGCACTTGAAGCAGGTAGTGGCAGTGGTGGGGGTGAAACCGCCTTGACTGAGTGGGGCCCCGTGTCCACCCTCCCTTCTCTGCATGGGAAGCAGGGTGTGACGTCAGTCACCTGCCACGGTGGCTACGTGTATACTACAGGGCGCGATGGTGCCTACTACCAGCTCTTTGTGAGAGGTGGCCAACTGCAGCCAGTCCTAAGGCAGAAGTCCTGTCGAGGCATGAACTGGGTGGCTGGGCTCCGCATGGTGGCTGATGGGAGTATGGTAATCCTGGGTTTCCATGCCAATGAGTTTGTGGTGTGGAGTCCCCGGTCACATGAAAAGCTGCACATCGTCAACTGTGGTGGAGGGCACCGCTCCTGGGCCTTCTCTGATACTGAGGCAGCTATGGCCTTTGCTTACCTCAAAGATGGGGATGTCATGCTCTACCGGGCGCTGGGTGGCTGCACCCGGCCACATGTGATTCTCCGGGAGAGCCTGCATGGCCGTGAGATCACTTGTGTGAAGCGTGTGGGCACCATCACTCTGGGGCCTGAATATGAGGTGCCCAGCTTCATGCAGCCTGACCACCTGGAGCCTGGCAGCGAGGGGCCAGGTTTGACTGACATTGTGATCACGTGTAGTGAGGACACTACCGTCTGTGTCCTGGCGCTCCCCACAGCCACTGGCTCAGCCCATGCACTTACAGCTGTTTGTAACCATATTTCCTCCGTGCGTGCACTCGCTGTGTGGGGTATTGGTACCCCAGGTGGCCCTCAGGATCCTCGGCCAGGCCTGACTGCTCATGTGGTGTCTGCGGGGGGCCGGGCTGAGATGCACTGCTTCAGCATCATGGTCACCCCGGACCCCAGCACCCCAAGCCGCCTCGCCTGCCATGTCATGCATCTTTCATCCCACCGGCTAGATGAGTACTGGGACCGGCAGCGCAATCGGCACCGGATGGTCAAGGTGGACCCAGAGACCAGGTGACGTGTACTGCAAGGCAGGAGCATGGGGTGGTGTCATGCAGGGCAAGCCCCTTGCAGCTGCTCCCAGGTTTCCCCTGACTGCTGTCCGGGTGTTTTCTCTGCAGGTACATGTCCCTAGCTGTTTGTGAGCTCGACCGGCCTGGTCTCGGCCCCCTTGTGGCTGCAGCCTGCAGTGATGGAGCAGTGAGGTGAGTGAGAGCAGAGGGCCCTGGGCGAAGACAAAAAGGTTGGAAGGTTGTCCAGAATGGGTTCTAAGCTGAGCCACCCTCCGCCCCCCAGGCTCTTCCTTTTGCAGGATTCAGGGCGGCGGCTGCAGCTCCTGGCTGAAACCTTTCACCACAAGCGGTGTGTCCTCAAGGTCCATTCCTTTACACACGAGGCACCCAACCAGCGGCGGTGAGAAGGGCTGCATGGTGGCTGGGCAGGGGCTCCCATTGTTTTCCATCTTCTTCACTGACCCAGCTGCCCTTCCCTGGTTCCCAGGAGGCTGTTCCTGTGCAGCGCAGCCACCGACGGCAGTTTGGCCTTCTGGGATCTCACTACCGTGCTGGACCATGGCTCTGGTGCCCTGGAGCCTCCGGCCGACCCCGGGCTTCCCTACCGTGAGTAGCTGGTGTGCAGCCAAGGCTGTCCCTCCTGCCTCCCACTTTGTTTTCAGCCGTGGGGCAGGCTGGGCCCTGACAACCATCTTCTTCCTCCAGGCCTGGGTACCCCCTGCCTGACCGTCCAGGCTCATAGCTGTGGTGTCAACAGCCTACACACCCTGCCCACACGTGAGGGCCATCTTGTGGCTAGTGGCAGTGAGGATGGCTCCCTCCATGTCTTTGTGCTGGCCATGGAGGCGCCAGAGCTGGAAGAAGCCATGGGGGGTGATCTGGTACCCCAGTTGCATGTGCTAGAGGAATATTCCGTCCCCTGTGCACATGCTGCCCATGTGACAGGCCTTAAGATCCTAAGCCCAAGCCTCATGGTCTCAGCCTCCATTGACCAACGGCTGACCTTCTGGCGTTTGGGTCACGGTGAGCCCACTTTCATGAACAGTACTGTGTACCATGTCCCAGATGTGGCGGACATGGACTGCTGGCCTGTAAGCCCTGAGTTTGGCCACCGCTGTGCTCTTGGGGGCCAGGGGCTTGAGGTTTACAACTGGTATGATTAAGGTATCCCGCGGTGGCCGGCGTGCTGGGCATGGGACCTGCTCGCAGACAGAATGGAATAGGAGTGACCGTCTGTGCTCATGCCCAGTGTGCCTTGAGAGGAGGAGGCGGCAGCCGCGGGTTCCTGACTTCAGAGCAGGAGCTAGAGGTGAGTAGGGTGCTGTTCCGGCAGGCCAAAAATACACCCTGGGGCTGGGCTTTGTATGTAACAGAAACAATTTATTTTGGCTTCAGGTCTCTAATATAATCTTTATATCTTTTTTCCAGGTGAAGATTTTGTAAACATTCCTAGATATTGGGGTCTCTGTGGCCTTAGATGTGGCTCAGTGGAGGGAGACCCAGCGTGGCTAGGCCAGTGTGGAGCACCTCACGCACGGCCCGCAGAAGCTGGAGACGGGCAAACATTTGACCAAACAGGTGTGGTCGAGGCTCCTGGAGGAGAGGAGGGGCCTGCTGGTCTCATTCTTTGCTTTCCTTGCCCCCCCTGCAATCCCCCACCCCCTCTTGTTGTGTACTTACCCCTAGGATGTGTACTCGGTTATAGTACGAGCTGAAATCCATGCTGAGCTGGACCAGGAACTTGCACATCTAGAGACAGAGACTGAGTCACTGGCCGGTCTCTTTGATCTCGTGCCCAGCCCAGAATAAAGCATCGAGTGTGCAGTGTCTGTCCCGGTCTTCTCTGGCTCACCGTCTCAGTGCGCGCAGTCACGTGGAGCCCTGAGGCTGCACATGCCAGGGCTGCTGTCTGGCCCAGCAGGTCTGGGAAAGGGAGCACGCCATTGAAGAGCAGCAGCCACTCGCCCTGGGGGTGGGGGTGGGGGGGAGAAGGGTGCTAGGAGGGGAGGTCCCAACCTCCTGCAGGTGCCTAGCTACCCAGGAGGACACTCACCTCATCCTGTAGCAGTGAGAAATCGAGACTGCTCACAGGTGGAAAAGTGGGGTACAGACCTTGTTCTGTGCTGTGCTTGTACCCCTCAAATAGCGTGGCAAGCCGGGCACAGTTGTACATGACGAAGGTGCCACTCCTGGTGCCCTTTGTGGAGATGCTGCTGTCGGCCAGGGCCAGGAGAAGCTGAGGAAGGGGGCATGAGTGCAGCCTTCGCACCCCATTCCACTAGCCCCGATCCCGCATGGCATCCAGGCTCACCTGACTCTGTGGAGCAGTGCTGAGCATCTCAAACTTGATAGTTGCTGCAGAGAGAATGCTGAAGACCTCTGTCCAGGCTGGCTCTGAGGGAATATAGTTGGTCAGCCTGGGCAGGCAGGAAAGCAAGTGACCTGCCCCTCCCGCAGGGCACAGCCAGGCTTCCCCAGCCGCACCTTGCACCAGGTCCCTGCCATGCTTCAGTGCGGATGCCTTGCACACCTGGGTGTGGCGGAGCCTGCATTTGGAGAAGGGTGAGTGGAGGGCTCAGAGGCACCTCCCGGGGCAGGGGGGGTGATGGTGAATCCCCCCCTCAACTCAGTGGCCTCCCTTCCAGCCTTACTCACTCGTAGTACTCAGGGGCAGTCAACTTGCTAGGCGTACCAGCGACTTTCACTGGGCCACAGACCAGGTGCTTCTGTCAGGAAGATACCAGGTGGTTAGCCCAGGAGGTGGTACCTCCAGCAATAGATCCTCAAAGAACCTAAATCTGGTGCCTGGACTCCCCCAGCGCCCTTTGCCACCAGGTTTTGTGCCCCTCTCAGGCTCACTGCTCGGGACACAGTCCAGCTTCCCCAATCTATTACTCCTCAATGTTCTTTAGGATGCCTCCACACCCTGCCATCTCCCAGGACGCTACACCTGCTGCAAGTACCCATTCGCCAAGCCTAACATCTCTCTTAAGGTCAAGTGTCACCTATGGACTCAGCTAATATGTCCCTTGGTGGGTTTTCAAGGGCCCTCAGGTTGGTGGGGATGGGGGTCGGGGGACCTCCACCATCACCAGCCTACCTGTGTGAGAGGAGCCTGATCATCCAGCTTCCACCAAAGCAAGTCCAACTTTTGTTGCTGGAACTCCTCCTCACAGCTCACCACGTGTACAACCATGCAGACGTCTGCACTGGCATGTGGGGCCGCAGCCTACAGGGTAGGAGGATGGTCACTGTGTGGACACAGGACACGGCCTGCCAGAGGCCTACAGGTTGGGGCTGGGGGTCAGTTACTAACCAGGCCTGGAGGGCTGGCCTGAGGCCACTGGCTTACAGCCTCCTGCAGCTCGGCCAGCACTGACAGCTGATCCTCAGTCACTGCAAAGAACACAGGGGCATTCAGGCTAGCCAGGAAGACAGGGTACCATCTCTCTGGCCCTGCAAGGCTCCATTTCCTACCCAGACACTTGTCTAGCTTGGGGTCATAGCCAGCTGCGCGTCCCCGTTCTTGCAACACTTCCTTCAGGGACACTGTGCCTAGGACGCCGGGGGCCAGGGCTCCGCCCTCCCGGGCCGGGCCAAGTTCTGCAAGCGCCCGGCTCCTCAGGGCTTCGGTGGCGGCTCTCTCCGAGGCAGCGGGCCAGTCTACGCGCAGTTGCTGCAGGAAGGTCGGCATGTGCGGGTCCCGCACGGCGGGCACCAGGCGCACCCTCACCCTGCAAAGCGAGGGCGTTGGGTCTCAGATCGGGCACCCGGCGCAGCTCCCCCTCCTTCCCACCGGCATTGGCTCTAAGCCCAGCTCACTGCCCCGGCCTTTGTGGCCGTGCGACGCGCTCACCCATGAGCGCGCAGAGCTCGCGCCAAATGATCGGCCACGAGCACGGCGCGCAGCCGGCTCAAGCGGAGCGAGCCAGGGGGGCCGCGCAGCGCCGGGCAGTGCAGGAGGACGCGCGGCCCGGGCGCGGCGGGCACGGCGGGCACGGCATAGGCGGGCACAGCGCCGAGCACGCGCTCGAAGACGGCAGGCCGCTGCAGCTGGAGTGCCAGGCCCGCGGGCGTCGGCGCGCAGCGCATCACCGGGGCCACGCCGGGTCCCTGCAGGCCGGCCACCGCACGGATCACGCGCTCCGGCACCTGTGGAAGGAAGGGCGGTGAGCGGGCTGCGGCGCTGCCACTGGCTGCACACGCCCTCCCGGCTGGTGCCCACCTGTCCATCCCCGAAGCGCGCTTGCAACGCGGGCCGCGGTGCCAGGAAGTCTCGGGCGCGCAGGTGGCGGGCACGCGTCTCCTTGAACCACACTGGGTCGCCAGGCCCCAGGGCCGTGTTGAGGGCCCCTAGTGTCTCTCCGACCCCCAGGCGCCCCGTCGCCATGGCGACCGGAAGGAGCCAGCGGAACCGGAAGCAGGGCGTCAGAAAGCCGAACTTCCGGGAGGGCCGACTGACCCGGGCGCGTATCAGGTGGCGGTCCCTGAGCTGACAGGTGCGCCAGAGGGAATTGTGGCGGCCGCTTCCGACCTTCGGCCCCAGCACTCCCTCCGCGCGGCCTGTCTGCCCTGCCTTGCCCCGGGTCCGGAATCTCGGGGTCCGCTGTAGGCCTAGAGTTCTGTCGTCGTCACCGGCATTAGCAACCAGGGAAAGGATCCTTGCTACCGGGCGGGGCCCGGACCGGACTGTTTTTCTCATCGAAATCTTAACCTATTTTTGATAACGTCTCATTCCCCAAATTTGACATTTGATCAAACGTCAGAAGTTCTAAATGTTTTGTGAGTGGAATAGAGCAGCTAATATTAAAGCCACTTTCACGACTTCCTAAAAAAAAAAACTTATTTTTGAAACAATTTGTGTTCTCCGGCTTCAGGTTATTTACAAGCATTTCCTCCTTGCGATCTGGGTCGTCTTTACTAAAGCAAAATGCGTGCTCTGGTAGAATTTCTTCTCTTGATTTTTGAGGAATTAGAACCATCACGATAGTTTCCAGAATTACCAGCTTTTAATTCTTTTCTTTTAACCTTTGTGTACATTAACAGAGATACTTTGGCCTCCTGGCTTAGGAAACGAGCCATTGTAGGCAAAATAAACGATGTGACCGTGAGAAGACCCAGTCTAAAGACTGCTCTCAGTTGGGAGCATCCCACTTCACTACAGAGAGAAAGCTCTTCCCTCTGTGTCACGAGGGCTCCGGAATTTCATTTCAGTGTAACTTAAATCCCCCTTTCCTCTATTTTCTTTCCAGGAGATTGAACCTGACACAGCACAGTGTGGGAAACCCTTAATTTCTGCTCTGGAGCAGTGAGAGTACCCAGAACTCAGAAAGGAGGGAGTCTTAGGGGCAGGAAGTTTGGCAAGACCCCTTTCTGGGCCAGGGCTGCAAGGCCCTGCTGGGATCGCCGAAAGAGCACTGGGCGGACACGACATTCCCGATGGCTTCTTGGGTGCCCACTCAACGGGAGTGATCGTGTCATTCCAAAGCTCTTTCCTTTTCGCAGGCCCATGACCCTGGGAGAGCTGCTAACAGGGCGGAGGGCTGGAGGCCAAGCTGGAGACTTCAGCTGCTCTTGGTACACGAAGACGGTTGGGGTGGGTTTTCCCCAGGAAATGAAAGGCTATCTATAGCGAGTTGTGGGCTGGGGTGGCCCTGTGGGACTCACCGCCATTGCGGCCCTGACTGAAGGCCCTGCGACCGCCCTCCCTTGTCAATGCTACTCCAAGTTCCAGAGATGATCACAACCCAGGCTCTCCGACATCTACGCCCACCACTTCCAGCCTGAGGGAGCCCCTGAGAGGGGCGGAGGCCAGGGCGACCCAAATAAAATAGGTCTGGGAGTCAGGAGCTGGCCCACCCCATCTAGGCCAGGACGCTGCTCTGGCAGGAGAGCAGGGAACGAAATCCAAGCGCAGCTGGAATGCTCTGGAGACAACAGCTGCTTTTGGGATTCCGTTGCCCGCTGTCCAGCCGTGGGCGGGGGGCGGGGGGGGCGGGGCGATGGGTATGCCCCAGCGGGGGTGGTGGTGGTCCCTTGCCCTGGGGCCAGATCAGGACCCCCGATTCCCAGTACCAGAAGACGGACCTAGGAGTGAGGGTAAAACCGAGTGTAGTGGGAATGAGGCGCTCACCTGGGCCCCCAAACAATAGGAAGACTGGTGGGAGCCTCCCCTGGGACCGGTTCCGATCCGGATTAGACCCGCAGGGTAGGATTACGCCTGCTGGTCCCATGAAGCCAGGCCACCGTGCAGTGACGGTGACAGGGAGGGCTTCGGGATCGACCAAAAGAGAAACTTGCCTGTGGGGCCGGAGAGGAAGTAAACCCGCGCACCCGCCTCGGTGACACCCCCGCACCCGGGGCCCTTTGTCCCGTGACTCTGCCAGCGCCCGGACCGCCAGGGGCCCAGTAGCGGCGACGCGACCCACGGGCTCCATTGCGAGTCTTCCGCTTTGCCGAACCTCCCTCCCCCCACCCCCCAGCCCCGTGGGTAGCAGACGCGTCAACGTTCCCTTGAGGCCACGACACGGTGGGGGCGCGGAGATGCCTGAAACCCGCGCGGGCGCCAGCGACTCTCGCGCCAGTAGGCCCTCTGATTCGGCTCAAGACGGGGGGTCGGGGAATTCTCGGCCGCGAGCAGAGTGAGCGACGACAGGGAGATGCTCCAGCCGCTGTCTAGTTCAGTATCTGGTCCTGTCGGCCCGGTCGATCCCACCCGAAAAGCCACAAACTCCCTACTTCGGCGTTCCCTTCCGCTGGCCGGGGCCGCAGACTCGGAGCCATTTTAAGGCGAAACCAATCAGCCCCGCCCCCTCGCGCTGCCGAGAAGCCAATCCACGCGCAGCCACGCCCCAGGAGACGCGCGGCGGCGACGCCAACGGTCGCGCGGGTGACGGTTAGGGAGGGGCGTGACTCGCTGGAGAGCGAGGGAAACCTGAGCCCGCCGCCCCGCCCTGGGAACCCGACGCCCCAAAGCCTGGGATTAGGGGATTGGAGGCTGGCCCCCACGCCCTGAGCAGGTGTGCGGGACTCGACCAGGTGCGCGGCCGCTCCGCCCCAGTCCCCAAGAGCCCTTCGTAATGGCTGAGAGCCGGGGACCAGGTTGTGGCGGGGGCCGAGGCTGCACTCTGAGGCCTGCCGCGCCACCAGGTGTCTGGCTCCCCCAGGACGGTCTGCGGGGACCCGGGGCGGGGCGGGCGGCAGGTGCAGACACCGGAGCCGCGCTGGGGGATGGGCCCTCCTGGGACAATTGGCATCAGTTGAGTCCCTCAAAATCCTGCGCCGGGGCAGCCGACCTGCGCGGTGCCCTCCGGGACGCAGGGGGCGCTGTCGCCACGCCGCGGTGGGCTCCGCCACGACCCGACTGACCCAGCGCCGGCCTCCCAGCAAGTTGGTCCGCCATGGTCGCCGCGTTCGTGCTTCGCGGCCTATGCCGAGCGCAAGCGGCGTTGCGCTGCGCCCCAGCCGAGCTGCTGTGGTGAGCGTCCCTGATTCTCCTGCCCTCACCCCTCGGCCGGCGATCGCGGCCCGGCCCCTCCTGGCCCCCTAGGCCCTGAGCATACCCCTCCGCAGGGTCCCACAGCGAGGGCATCGGCTCACGCCGGCGGACGACGAGCTGTATCAGCGGACGCGCATCTCCCTGCTGCAGCGCGAGTCCCCGCAGTCCATGTATATCGACAGCTACAGCAGCCGCGGCTTCATGGTCAATGGAAATCGCGTCCTTGGGCCCTGCGCGCTGCTCCCGCACTCGGTGGTGCAGTGGAACGTGAGCAGTGAGGAGGCGGAGGGCCAGGGTCCCCGGCAAACTTGGCTTTTTCATTACCCCTTTGTGGCGCAGGTAAGGGCTCTGTGGGGAAAACTGCGCGAACTTGTGTTTAACCTGCCTCCTCCCAACACAGGTAGGAACTCACCGGGACATCATCGAAGAAAGCTTCTCGCTCTTCTGGTTGCTGGAGCCCCGAATAGGTACTGGTGAAGGGGAGGGCTGAGGTGCTTCCAGCCCTAGAGAGCCAAAAGCCACCCCGCCCCAGCTTCCCCACACACCTGCCATTGGCTAGTGGTGGTCGTCTTTTCCTAGAGATTGTTGTGGTGGGCACCGGAGACCGGACTGAACGGCTGCAGCCCCAGGTGCTGCAAGCCCTGAAGCAGCGGGGCATCGCGGTGGAAGTACAGGATACGGTAAGTCCTGCCACTGGGGAGTGCTGAGCAGGGCCCAGGCCTGGCCTTAGCCAAGCTGATGCAGGCTTTCTCTTTGCAGCCCAATGCCTGTGCCACTTTCAACTTCCTGTGTCATGAAGGCCGAGTAACAGGAGCTGCTCTTATTCCTCCACCTGGAGGGACTATGCTCACATCTTTGGCACAAGCTCCAGAGTGAACCAGCAGGAACCGACCTAACCTATCCAGGAAGGCTCTGGCACTTGTTCCAGAGCGCAGGGGTTTGCAGCGCTCTCACTAGCCCTTCCCCCTTTGGCACTGTAACTTTTGTCTTTCTTGCCAGCAAATTAATAATTTAATCCACTTTTCCCATTTTGTATTAGATGTGTTGCTGGCCAGGAGGAGCCACAGGTTCAGTGGGCTCATGGTGGGAGTTGTGAAGAAATCATTTATCTAGACTACTTAGCTTCTCAGAGGCAGGAGACAGTGTAGGCACCTGTTAAAACTGCAAATCTACCTAACTTGCTCACATGCAGGTTTGAGGGGACCTCAGTGCTTTCTCCACAAGGCCCTTGGGGATTCGAGTTAGAGACTACATATGTGGGTCTTAGCCTGGTCCCATGTGGCCTAGCAGGAAGCCCTATCAATGGGTGCCAGTCCAAAGCCTCCATGGACTATTCCATGACCTGTCCTAAGCAGCCACAATGTGAGACTGAACCCTTAGGAGCCAGAACTGGCCAGACCTACCTTGTGAGCTGCTCAGGAGGGACTTTCTGAATCTAGAACTAGTATCTCCTTCCAGATCCAAGGAATATCCTGGCTTCCGGGTCTGAAGACTTTCCCTACAAATGAGTGTTGTGTTTGTGTGCATCTGTGATATTGGCCACCACATCTGCCTGTAGATCTCAAAGATCAGGCATCATTTTTTTTTCCCCAAACTTTTATTGAAAAACCAAGGGGGTATGCTGTATCCATTTTCAGAAAAGCCTCTTCTCGTACCTGTAAGGAGAATAACCAGCTTTGAGGTAGGGGCAGGAGGAAGGAGGCATGGCAGAAACCTCTGCCCCAAGGGTAGGTGGGTACAAAAGGGTCCACCACTTACGAATGGAGGCTGTGGACACCACCTTCCACCTGAGCTGAGGATGTTCTCTTCTCAAACTTGAGTTCTCCAGAATACATCATGGCTCTGAAGAGGTGCAAGTATCAGATGGGGTACCTAACCTTCAACTAGCTCCTCTACCCATCTCCCAGCTCCCCAGGCTTACCGGACTTGGGTCAAACTCTTGGCACCAATGTCCTGGCAGGAGTGCTGGATGCCAGCGATCAGGTAGGGGACAAATTTGTGGATGGACCCTTTGTCTTGCACAGCCCCAGACACCCCCTGGGCCACCTTAATTTTATCAGCTTCGCTGTAGGGAGAGGCAAGACAACATAGGAAAGGTCAAGGATGGATAAGGTTATCAGTACAAGGCTGTCAGCATAGGGTAACTTGTCTTCCTGTCCTACCTGAAATACCGGTTTTGGCTGCTGAGATGCTTGTCCATGGCATCAAGAGACCCCATACCACGGTATTTCTTTAGGCGGATTCCATCAGAAAAGAAGTACTCGCCAGGGGCCTCAGTGGTAGCAGCCAGGAGGGAGCCCATCATGACTATGGACAGATAGGAGTGATGGGAGCAGACCCTGAGTGGCACTGGGGAAGGAATCCCACCAGACTCCCTGGGTGCTGGGCCTCACCTGTGGAGGCCCCAAGGGCCAAGGCTTTGGCAATATGACCCACATTTTGGATTCCTCCATCAGCAATGACAGGAACACCAAAGCGCCTTGCATATTCTGACACCTTGTACACTGCTGTTGCCTGGGGCCGCCCACAGGCTAACACTATTGAGAAATGGAACAGATGGGTGGGTGGAATTAATGGGGACAGGCAAGGGGCCCTGTGGCCGTAACTCAGTACCCAGGAGCTCTCAAGATACACCTGTACCAGGACTGCAGCCTGGTTGAAAAAAGTCATGTCTGGAATGGCTGCTGCCCCATCTGCCTTCAACAGTTCAAACAGCTGTGATGGCCTCCACTTAACCCTGCGTGTGCGCGTGCATGTGTACATGGCCCAGGGCAGCCTCAGGCACATGCAGTCAGCAGCCGGGAAAAAGCCCCCACCCAACTGGTATCAAGTGGGGGTAGGGGTTACCGTGCAGTTAGTACCCAGAGGTCCACCACTCCCTCCCTGCATGGTTGGCAGCTTGGGCAAAATCAGGGCAGTGGTCACGTGGAAGGGAGAGCTTGTTGGTCCTTGAGCTGTGCCTACTGTAGGAAATGTGGGCAGACTAGGGCATACCTGGGGAAGAAGGTCCCCTATGAGCACCCCAGTAAGAGGAAGGAGCTGTGTTCTCCAGCAGCCCCCAAAACCATGGTCTGTCATTCAGTTTGCCCTGCCCACCCAACAGCACCACAAACCCCGGGAGCTACAGCTACAGTCAACCAAGCAGCCGGGCAGTGGGCAGCTGGGCCGGGCCAGTGGGCCGGGCTGGACTTACTATAGCAGCCCTTGACAGTAGAAGGGCATTTGGGGCTGTGGGACTTTATGTCTGGAGGGATCTTGGGAGCCACTAAATAAAACAAACAGACCAGAGTTTAGAGAGGGTGCATAGCAGGAGCAAGAAGGCCAGGCTAGGCAAGGGGGAAGGGGCAGGGAGTGGCAGGTGAGGAATGACGAGCTCGTCTTCCAGCCATGTCATCCATTCAAGGGGCCTTTTTGGCCCTGGATTGCCCCTATTGGGAGGACTCAGTATAGTTTCCACAGAGTGCTTGGCTTTGGGCCATATGGGGCTAAGGGTCCTGCTGAAGCCAGGGCCTCTGAGGGTCCCACTGAAGCATTTCCTACCTTCCTGGGTGATGCAGATGGAGCCACTGCCCATGCCCACCCGCAGGGCATCTACACCAGCATCAATGAGATTCTTGGCCTGAGCAGCCGTGACCACTATAGTAAGGAACAGTAAAAGGCTTGTGTGAAGGTCTGAGTGGGAGTCTAGCTCTCCTAATTCTTATTCTACATCCTTGGGTGCCCAGTCTTGCCTCACCATTGCCTCCAATAACCTGGAGAGTGGGGTATTTCTCTTTGATGTACTTGATCATGTTGATCTGGAAGATGGAGTTTCCCTGCGAAGAATCCTGGGATAGGGAGAAAGATTCAGTGAGACTGATAATATGACAGCTGTCCCAACCACCACACCCTGCCTGTGCAAGAGCTCACCAAAACCACTACATCCACACCAGCCTGAGCTAGCAAGTCCAGCCGGTACTTGTCATCTTCATGAGTGCCAATGGCTGCTCCACATAGCAGCTGCTTCTTGGCATCTTTGGAGGCCAGTGGGTAATCTCGGTTTTTCTTCAGGTCTGTCCGGGCAATGATGGCTACCAGCTCATCATCTTCATTTACAATGGGTAACTTTCCTGGGGGTAGGGAAGGTACATAAATCAGAACGCTGGTCTTTGGTTCCAGAACCCTTCCACCTGCAGAACTCACCCTTCTTGCTGCGCTGAAGAATTTCATTTGCTTCCTTCAGTGTGATGCCTGCAGGGGCTACCACCAAGTCTTCCCTCTTCGTCATGATCTATAAGGGAGGGGAGCTCTGAGAAAGGGCCAGAGACCAGACCTCCCAACAGACCCTGCCCTAACTTGGATGATGTTCCACATACCACCATGATCCTACCTTGTACTCAAACCACCTTAAGTGAACCCAATAGCTAGTCTAGCAATATAGTAGCATGGGTGAAAATTAAGTAGAAAAGACAATATGGTACACAGAACATCCTGTTACATAATAGAGAAAGAAGGGCCATGCCAGAGCAATGACAAGAGGAGGCCAAAGTTGGTCCTTGAGCACTGACCCCACCTTGGGAGTGGCAACTTAGCATGTGTGCTGGCAAACACTTGGGCAGATTGAGAACATCTGGTGGGGAAGAACTCCAGGAACTCTATGAAGGGGTCAGACAGTTGGCAGGGCATTCACCTTTCCTGGAAGCAGAGGCCCCCAGAGATGCCATTCAGGCAACAGATGGTGTCTTAAGCCTTGGCCACCAGAACTTGGCTTTGCTTTGTCAGTTGCACTCACCTCTTCCAAAAACCGGTCATGTTCCTCTTCCTTGAGAAAATCTATGTCCCTTGAGGAAATGATGCCCACCAAACGGCTCCCCATCCGGCCTGTATCGGTGATTGGGATACCGCAGAATCCGTGCCGGGCTTTGGCTTCAAACACATCTCGCACTCGATCCTTGGGGCTGAGGACCACAGGGTCTGTAATGAACCCCTGCTCGTATTTCTGGAAGGGATGGTAAGAACATTTCTGAACCACATTTACCAGTTTGAAGCCTGGGGTCTCTGCCAACTCCCCCTCTGGCAGTACCATATGACCAAATCACAGTTCAAACATGAGTGGGCTATAGGTACTATCCACCCGGTCCTCTTCTGTTGCCTAGGACACAGGGTCTAATGAACCCCAAAGTGGGGAAGAAAGGACCCTAAAGAGAATAAATCCCCCACTTCCACCCCACTCCACCTCAGTGCAATTCCCAGGAGCTCTTGACCATGATCCTTGCCCTTCTGACCTTCACTTTCCGAACTTCGTTGGCTTGGAACTCAGGTGTACAGTTGTGGTGGATGAAGCCAATACCACCTGTAAGCTACACGATAAACAAAAGGTAAAAAAAAAAAAAAAAGACAAAGCAGCATGGCTGTGTAGGTCTTTGGGGAAAAGTGTGAGGCCCCTTCTTTTGTCCTTCCACCCCATGATGCTCACCGCCATTGCTATGGCCATGCCAGCTTCTGTGACTGTGTCCATGGGTGAGGAAACCAGTGGGGTCTTCAGAGTGATCTTTTTGGTCAGAGCAGAAGTCAGGTCCTGAGGAAATACAGCCAGCTAATGTGGAAAAACACCTCATATGCCTCAGGATGGTGTCAGGTCCCCCATAAACCGAGTACTCTGTATGACCTGCATGCCAATAAGATTTCCAAAGAATCCACCCGCATGCCCAAACCTGATGTGGTAGCCAAAAGACCAGGGAAAACAAGTACCTTACCCAACCTTGACGCTCAGGACCCAATTTCTGGCCATACTCACCACCTGGTCTGCAGTGAAGTCGATGTACCCAGGGAGAATGAGAAAGTCACTACGGGGGAGGGGAGTGAATTGGGAATAAGGCTCAGGATTAGGGCAGCCTGAGATTCCATCCCCATAGATCATGTCATAAGGCATTTGGGCCTAGAGAGCACTGACCTAGCCCGTGTCAAGGCAGGGCAGACAAATCACAAGGTGGAGATGGAGTCAGGACCTTTTCTGCCACCTAGCTGTCATCAGCGACCCTGGCACCCTGACAACTCCATGTGCTGAGAGAATGGAGCTTCTAGTCTGGAATCTCAAGCACTGCCAAGATGCCTCCTCCATCCCGCCCCACTTCAGATCTATCAAACGGAACCCCAGAGACGGGAAGGGGATTTTCCGGAACCTGTCTCCCATGCCCAGGTCCAAGCGGGTTCAGAGGAAAACCCCACCCGGCCTCCCAGGCCAGCGCGCCACCCCACTCCTCGCCCAGGTGAGCCCGCTAGGCCCGCACTTGTAGGTGAGGCCATCCCCGCAGTTGAACAGCTGCTGTGCTGTGAGCCCGTCGTCTGGCACGTAGGACGTGCCCCCGCTAATCAGGTAGTCGGCCATGGCCAGCACCGGGCAAAGCCGCGTGTGTCCGAAGACCGCGCCGCAGAGGCCTCTGCCGTCTGGGCCGCGCCAATATAAACCCGCGGATATCGTCACTGCGTCCTGCGCGCCGCTAACGTCAGGACGCAGTGCGAACAGGCGGAGCCCGCACGCTTCCAGGGCGGAGCTACCGAAAGAACGCATGCGCAAAGCGCGCCGTAGGAGTACAGACGCGAGTGTTCCCGAAGCTTCCCCCTCCCACAGGACTGTGACCCGTTCAATTAGCAGGCAAGATTTGCTTCTAATGGCCCGCCAGGTTCTTCCCAAATAAAGAGTCGATGTTCACTAGCATGTTGAAAAGACGTGCTTGTCATTCTTAATAAACAACTAGATTAAGAATACATAAGAGAAACAGAGTGGTATCTTTATATGATACACAAGTGTATGTTACAAGAATTCCATCAGGCACAGGAGCCTCAGGTTTAAGGCCTCAATGTTAGGCCAAAAAAAAAAAAAAAAAGGCATGGTAAAGTTTTTACTTTAACATCTAAAATGTCACTTGTCATAAAGGAGGGTGTAATAGAAATTGTCTTTAATAAATCATAATTGAAGTTCCCCTCATTTTCCTTCCATTAAGATGCTAAGTTTATGTCTGAGCATGAAGAAAGTAAAGACCATGGCTCCCCTGTGGTCAACGACGTCTGCCAGTCAGAGTGGAAGCCAGCTGGGGAGATTCCCTGGAGGGTCCGTCACTAATTCCATCTTTCTGGAGTAAGGGAAGGGGCCATATTTCTCCTAACAGTCCGAGCCCTTTCCCCAGGCCCCAGACAAAAAAGAAAAAGCCAGCCAGCAACTTTCTAGGACATCTGGCTTTCAGGAAACCCAGAGCCCCCCACGGGCTGAGAAATCTGCTGCAGCAGATTTACGGTGACGCACAGAAGGCAAAGTTTCCTTTTACATTTTAAACAGAAGCAGTCTGAAAGGCTTCATAACTACACCAATTAAAAAAAAAAAAAGAAAGAAAGAAAAAATGGAGGCCTCTTCTTTAGTGTGAAAGTCTGTCCATTTTTTTTTTCCTGGATCATCTCCCTTGCACCATGGCTTAGGGATCTCAGTGCATGGTGCTTGCGTTGGCCACTGCAATGGCCTCCTGAATTTCTCGTATCACCAGGATCCGAGTCAGCATCTGTCCCATCTGCTCTCTGCTGATAGGCTGGACCGAGTACCAGATTGGGCTATTGGGGGCCACCACTGGCTCAGGCGTCAGATAAAACGTGTCATTCCGGCCTTTCACACTCTGGGGGCTGAAAAATATTATCAGTAAAAGCTGGGTAAAACCACAACAGTCCCAACCCTCCCACCCTAGAATCATCCAGATGTTGTATGCAAAAGGTGAGAAGACAGGAGCTCTTGAAGGTATGATGGCATAGCTACTGAATTCCACGCAGTCAACTCACATTACCTCTAGGACCTCCTTTGGGGATACTGCCAATACCAGTAATAGGCTGCCTCCCTTCAGCAACTCCCTCACATGCCACACGCTGTGATTTCTCTAACCACCTGCCTCACTCAGTACGCCAGAGATCATCTACTTGAATCCAACATATCCCACTTGGAATCAATTTTACCACCTACAAGGTCCTTTCTACGTCTTTGCTTATTATGTTGTTTACTCAAATGATTGGCAATTCCTAACCTAAATTTTACATAAGGGACTCTGCCTTCCCAGCTTGGCTATGATGCTGGGACCCTTAGCTGGGCTCACCCTCCCCCTCCTCAATGTTGTGCTGTACTTAGCCCACGGCACCCTCTTGCCCATCCACTCAAGATTTATCAAAAAAGGGTCACTGTGTGCCAGGCCTGTACTAGGTGCTGGTGTTCAAGAAATAAGCACTAGGTGCTGGTATTCAAGAAATAAGCAGGATCCAAGACTCCCTACCTTATGGCGCTTATAGATAAGAGATGGTCAACAATTAAATATTTATATAAATACACATAAAATGACAATCAGTGAGAAGTTCTACAGAGGAAACAGCCCAAAAGAACAGATAGAGAATCTGGAAATGTTTCCCTGATAAAGCTGTTTCAAGAAGAGGGAGAGATAGGAGCCAACTGGCCAAATATGGGGGTGGGGAGGGGAGGCCTCATCAACAGGGAAAATTTCTATGCTGAGGCCTGGAGGCAGGGAGAACATGACACCCTTCAGTGGAGAGGAGCCAGTGCGGCTAGAAAGCCAAAAACTACAAGGATGTGAGAATTAGCAGTGGGGAATATACATATGCCCTTGTTGGCAAGATTTGGATCACTCTTTCTCTATACCATAAATTTAAACCACTGAAGGTTTTAATCTAAATAATATAAGATCTATAACATAGAAAGATGATTTTGGCATTGCTGTAAAGATAACACGCCAAACTGCCAAGGGCAATAGAGTAAAAGCCAAGGAAAGGAAACCCCGATACTGATGTTGCTAGTTGCTATCTTCAAGGCCAGGAAGATGGAAGGCCATGCCATGTGATGGAGGTTGCTCTTCTATACTTTCCTCCATCTACCTTTATTCCTCTCTTCAGGACAGGAGACCATATAAAGATCACAATGCTAGTCATTTCATATGCTTTGAGGAAATCAATCAGGTTGCTTCTATATTTAGTTTTTTGGAGTATGTTTTTACTCTCAGTTTGGGATTAAAGAATGCCTTGTACACAGATACAGTGCACACACGCACACAGTCATCCAGCCACCATAAAGCTTCCTCACCATTTAAAGAGGTAGAAATCGTAGAGCTTGATGGGACATCTCAGTGGATTCTCTGGATTTTCCGTCTGTTCTGCATACATGTCATCTGTAACTATAAAACATACCCCCACCACCAGAGACATGGCATGAGACTGCCTTAGCTCAGGCCCAGATTAGGAACCTTAGGTTTCTAGCCATCCCAACTGGACTTACTGGGAGGGGAAAGGGTGTGAGGCATGAAGTGGAAAAAGCACAATTGTTTCTGGGGCATCTCTGTTTTTAAGAGTTTGAAGTTTCTAGGTAGGGAAAAGGAAATGGAGAATTCCTATCCAGCAAATCCCAATCTTCACACTCAACACTAACCCCCCCCCCCATGCACAAGGGCAGGGCAGGACAAGTTACACCTGTTTCTGCAGCCCTTACCTTTTTGGCCAGTCTGGTGTATCCCAAGAGCCTTCAGGTACCGAATACTCGTGCTTTTATCCTTAGGATTAGAGGGGTTCTTCTTTGTCTGTCGCAAAACCTTGGAGAAGGCCAGCTTCATGTGCTGGTCCACTGTCTTCAACAGGAAGTATCTGCACCACAAGTGAAAGCAAGGCAAAGGGAAGGGTGCCAGGAGGAGACTATGACTTACCCTCTACCATCGGTGCCTCAGAGGAGCCGCTGCACACACTCCCAGGATCTGGTCAGGCCCATACCCAAAAACACTGTCTAGTGGAGGAACCACATCAAGACTGATGGCAGGGGTCTGGCAAGACTGCCTCACTGGTCACCACACAAATGTAGCCAAATGGGTCTGAAGGCTTTCAGTAGCCCAGAGGCTTTCAAATATGTGTCAAAGGAATTCCTAGATCTACCTAGATAGTTTCCACCCTCTTCACTGGGCAAATGCCAGCAGTGGCTAAGCATGGAGCTTCTAGAACACTTACTTGGTGTTAAAGAACATGAGGGTGGTCAGCAGGGTAGAAGGGGAGTGAGCCCCGAGCTGCTTGCACTCCCACAGCATCTCCTCAGTCACGTGGCTGGGCAGGACATAGCCTAGGAGGAATAGAGCACTGCTACAACAAGAGGATGGCAGGTGGGCCCTCAGAGGTGCAGGATGGGAGGTGGGAGGCACAAGGACCACAGAAGAGTACAAGTTTAACCAGAAAAATCTCCCTAGGGAATGGCAGAATCATCTGGAAGCTTGTTAAAACACATGGCTGAATCCCAGCCCAAATTTCTGGGATGGGACCTGATGATGTGCATTTCTAACAAATTCCTGAGAAACACTGCCCTATATGGTTGCTCTTACCTGATGTTAATTGTTCCTCTAATCCAAGGTTAAAGTGGGGCAAAAGAATAGTGAAACATCCAAAACTATAAATCAAACTCTGCATACATTCATACTTCTCTAGAGTACAAAGCTTTCATCATATTTTCAGGTGTCAAGGGCCCAAAGAACTGGTATGGGTACCCCTGTTTGCCCTTGCTAAACTTCTCACATTTTCCACCTCTAGAAAGCAAACTCATTCTTATTCCCTCTCTGGATAAAGGGGAGAATGATACTCAGAACTACTGTAGGATTCCCTGACAGGGCAGGTTTTACTTTAAGATGCTGGTTTGTAAGTGAACTGAGAGTTGGGCAGGGGCAAAGGCCAGTGTTTGATTAAAAACCCTGTGCAGCCAGGTCTACACCAAAGGATGAGAATACCTGAGTTGATCACCAAGCCCCCTTCATGTGTTCATTCAACAGTTAATATACAAGTGTTTGTGTACCAGGCACTGAGGCCATGGTGAAGGCATTCTCCTGGGGAGTTTCAGGATTCTCCAGGCAGGCAGTAAGGATGTCACTCCCTAGAAGTGGGGAAAGAAATATTCTGCCTAACACATTCCTCTTCTCTGCTCCTGCCAAAGCTGACCCACTGACTTCATTAAGTGCACTCCCACCTCTTTAGGGCAGCTCTGCTTCTAATCTTCTATTCTGTGGCCTACTGGCAATGAGATAAACTTCCTCGCCATCGAACATATCTGAAGCAGGTAAGTGGCACAAAACACCCTTCATGGAGAAGGCCAGTGCTAGAAGTGGTCCCATACATATTTTGGCATGTGCTATTTTCTTGGGTTTACTTCACTTTGCCATTTATATGTGCTTCCCTAGCTTTAACCACTTCTTAATACAACCTAAAGTGAAGTTTAGGGCCTAAAAACCAGGACTCCTGGCATGGAAGAATGGAGATGCAGATAGGGACATCACATAAAAACTTTATAATTCTGAGTATGAACTGCAAGCATCAACATGACCTATTTTGTATTTTCTTAGTTCTTCCCACGGAAAGGCTTAGTTAGAAACAGTGACCAGGAGCAATGAACACCCCCATGGATCCAGACTGTGCTACTTAAAATACCATTTACTACTAAAAGGAACCAGGCTCCATGGACAACTGACCAATCTCACATTGAGATAGAAAATAGAAAATGTCCAAGATCAGTCTGGAACACTTGGCAAATCAGAAACCAAGGAAGTAGGGCCATATCAAAAGAACTTAAAAGCCAATTTAAAGAGGTTCCAAATGGTCAAAGATGGAAAAATTTGTACATCAAAAAACGGTAACAGGGACGCCTGGGTGGCTCAGCGGTTAAGCGCCTGCCTTTGGCACAGGGCGAGATCCTGGAGTCCCATGATTGGGTCCCACATCGGGCTTCCTGCATGGAGCCTGCTTCTCCCTCTGCTTGTGTTGTATCTCTGCCTCTCTCTCTCCATGTGTCTCTCATGAATAAATAAAATCTTTAAAAACAAAACAAAACAAACAAAAAAAAGGTAACAGCAATGGACTGAACCAAATTAAACATATATAAATTCATTATTAGCTCATAATGATTCCTTAAAAAGAAAAGAGAATTGGTTATCACTGGACTAAACCGGTAAGCCAACTCATTACCATAAAAACTGCTAAACAAGGAGAAGAAATAAGCCCTTATCCTGCTCTTCCTATAAAATCCATTATTTAGTGATGCCTGGGTGGCTCAGCAGTTGAGGGCCTGCCTTCAGCCCAGGGCGTGATCCTGGAGTCCCGGGATCGAGTCCTGGATCGGGCTCCCTGCATGGAGCCTGCTTCTCTCTCTGCCTGTCTCTCTCATGAATAAATATATAGTATCTTTAAAAAATAAAATCCATTATCTATACTGCTAGATGTTCAAAGAGTGAGCAAGGGAATGTTTTACTTTGTAATTCAGCTAATAATGAAGAAGTAATAACATCAGAATACCATCGCCTGCAACTCCTAATGAATTAATGGATTCAGACATTATGGGTATCAGATAGAAGTATATAACCCATCTATGACATAACCTTGCCAAAAAGAAAACACAAAAATCAAAACTTAACCAATGAAGTTTTTATATGCAACTACTGATTAGCTGTAAATACAGTTTAACATAGAAAACGATGTTAAACTACAATATGGGGGTATAATCAGACAATTTAAAAGGCTAGTTTCATAGGGTGTCTGGGTGGCTTAGTTGGTTGAGCATCTAACTCTTGGTTTTGGCTCAGGACATAATCTCAGGTCCTGGGATCGAATCCATGTTGGGCCTGTTTAAGATTCCTCTTCTCCCTCAGTCCCTCCCTCCCTGCGTGCTCTCTCTTTCTCCATCAATCAGTGGCTAGTTTCTTCCACAAATAAATTGCAAGAAATAGAATCAAGAAGAAAACTAAAGATTAAAGCTAAATATTAGAACATACCAGCAATTTCAATGTGTAGACCTTATTTGTACCTTGACATTTATGAAACACTTAGAAATGTGAACAAAGGGTAGGTAGACTTTGATGACACTATGGAATTATCCTTCTTTCAAGTATAATAATGGCATCATAGTATGTCAAGCATAGTAAAATATTTATGAATAAAGTATCTAGGAGTAAAAAAAAAGTAGGAGTTACTTCAAAATATGGGAAGGGAAAAACAGGTGTACTCGTAACACAAGTTTCCCATGGACAGTGGGTACATGGGAATGTCATTTAACTATTCTGTTTAACTTTTATATGTGCTTGAAATTCCCATAATACCAATTTTTAAAAGCAAACTCTGCAGAGCCACACCTGTCTTGAAAATTTGTAAGTCATGTAGTGATTCACTTACTTGCTTTCTGTTCTAAGGCCAGTCCCTCAGCAATGCCTCCCATCTAATGTCCTTAACACTTTCCATTTCCCAATGCTTTGGTTCTTTAAGCCACTCAATCATAATTGGTTATTTACACATGGTCTCCCCCTATTAGACTATAAACTCCATTTTGTTCATTACAATATTGTATTACCCACACCTACAATACTGCCTGGCACAATGCAGGCACTCAAAAAGTATTTGTTTAACCACTAGTTTTTTCTTAAAGGTTAAGCATGTAACTGTGTGGGGATGGATGTTAACTAAACTAGACCATTACACAAGATACATCAAATCAGTATGCTCTATACATAAAACTAATATGTTACATGTCAATTATATCTCAATTTTTTAAAAGTTTTTAATGCCAGGTAGATTTTTTTAATGGGGAAAAAAAAAGTTTAAGCAGCATACATTCTAATGGTAAAGCCAGGTTTCTTTTTTAATTTTTTTTGACTTTTTTATTTATTTATGATAGTCACACACACACACAGAGAGAGAGAGAGAGGCAGAGACACAGGCAGAGGGAGAAGCAGGCTCCATGCACCGAGAGCCGGGCGTGGGATTCGATCCCAGGTCTCCAGGATCGCGCCCTGGGCCAAAGGCAGGCGCCAAACAGCTGCGCCACACAGGGATCCCTCTAATGGTAAAGCCAGGATTAAAACTCAGATATTTCGGGCAGCCCCAGTGGCGCAGTGGTTTAGTGCTGCCTGCAGCCCACAGCGTGATCCTGGAGACCAGGGATTGAGTCTCACATCAGGCTCCCTGCATGGAGCCTGTTTCTCCCTCTGCCTATGTCTCTGCCTCTCTCTCTCTCTCACTCTGTATCTCTCATGAGTAAATAAAATAAAATCTTAAAAAAAAAAAAAAACAAACCTCAGATATTTGTGTGGATATAAGTTTTCAATTGATTTGGGTAAATACCAAGGAGCACAAATGCTGGATCATAAGTTAAGAAAATGTTTTTGCTTTTTTTTTTTTAATTCGTGAGAGAGAGGTAGAGACACAGGCAGAGGGAGAAGCAGGCTCCATGCAGGGAGCCCGACGTGGGACTGGATCCCGGGTCTCCAGGATCACGCCCCGGGCCAAAGGCGGCGCTAAACCGCCGAGCCACCCAGGCTGCCCAAAATGTTTACTTTTTAAAGAAAACGTCAAACTGTCTTATAAAGGGATTGGACCATTTTGCATTCCTACCAGAAAGAATTAAAGTTCTTGTACTTCCTTATCCAGCATTTGGGGCTGCTAATCTTTGTGATTCCAGTCATTCTAATAGGTATATATATTGGTATGTCATTTTAGTTTGCAATTTCCTGATGATACCTAATGATAAGCATCCTTTCATATACTTATCTGCCACTTGTAGATCTTCTTTGGTAAGGAAACTAAAGATCTTTTGGCCATTTTTTGGATCAGGTTTTTTGCTTTTTTTTTTATTGCTGTGTTAAGAGTTCTTTGTATATTCTGGATACCAATCCTTTATCAGATATGTGCTTTACAAAAGATTTTCTACCAGTTTGTGGCTTGTCTTTTCATTCTCTTAAGAGTGTCTTTCACAGAGCATAAGATTCTAATTTTAATGAAGCCCAACTTATCAATGATTTTCTTTCATGGATTGTGCTATTGGTGTTATATTCAAAAAAGCTGCTACTCAACCCAAGGTCACCTAGTTTTTCTCCTATGTTATTTTCTGGGGTTTTATGATTTTGAGTTTTACAAAATTTAGGTCTATGACCTATTTTGAGTTGATTCTGTGAATGGCGTACGGTTTGCATCTATATTCATTTTTTGGTATGTGGGATGTCCCGCAGTTCCAGCATTTGATTAAAAGGCTATTCTTTCTCCATTGAACTATCCTTACTTACTCTTTTGTCAAAGGTAAGTTCATCATATTTGTGTGACTCTATTTCTGGGCTCTCTATTCTGTTCCAGTGATTTGTCTATTCTTTCACCAGAAACCTGCACACAATGTTTATAGTAGCTTTATTCATAATTGCCAAAACTTGGAAGCAACGAAGATGTCCTTCAATGCGTGAATGGATAAACAAATTGTGTCGTACATCCATACAATGGAATACTATTCAGCAATAAAAAGAAATGAGCTATCAAGGCACAAAAAAAGACACACAAGAACATTAAATGCATATTGCTAGGTGAAAGAAACCAATCTGAAATATTCTGAATTATTCCAACTATATGACATTCTGAAAAAGGCAAAACTATGCAAGCAGTGAAAAGATCAGTGATTGCCAGGGATTTGGTAGGGGGCGGGAGATAAATAGGTGGAACACAGAGGATTTTAGAGCCCTGAAAATTATGTATGATACTGTAATTGTAGATACATATCATTATACATTTGTCCAAACCCACAGAATGTAGAACAGGAGGCGTGAACCCTAATGTAAATTATAGACTTTAGTTACTAATATTAATATTGGCTCATCAATTATAACAAATACACTACACTAATACAAAATATTAAATAGTAGAGGAAACAGTGTGTGAGGGAATAAATGAGAATTCTCTATGTTGCTCATTCTTTCTGTAAACCTAAAATTGCTCTAAAAAGATAAACATTTATTAAAAACAAAACACAAGGGGATCCCTGGGTGGCGCAGTGGTTTGGCGCCTGCCTTTGGCCCAGGGTGCAATCCTGGAGACCCGGGATCGAGTCCCACGTCGGGCTCCCAGTGCATGGAGCCTGCTTCTCCCTCTGCCTGTGTCTCTGCCTCTCTCTCTCTCATTCTATGTGACTATCAAAAATAAATAAAAATTTAAAAACAAAACAAAACAAAACACAAACACCACATTCTATTGTAAATCTCCTGTTCTTTCCAACATATATGCTGCCCAGAAGGTTATATAGGTAAAGTAAAAATTATGTTCTATATATGTAGAATATACACACACACACACACACACACACGTTCAAACATATAGAAGAAAACTCCAATATATAACATGAGTAACCTACAGATGAAACAGTTCATAATTCTTAATGTAATGATTCTAATTTTAATCAGTAAATTTTAATTAAAGCTAACCAAGAAAAAAGAGTAACTACCCCAACTCTCCACATGCCCCCATCTCTTCCCACACCAGGACCAGCAGGGTTCTTTGTCTGGTGTGCAGTGCCCCTTCCATATCAGGCCAAGCAGCACAGAAGTTGATGCTGGTACCTAGGATTTATAGCCTCTTCACCCACACGCTGTATCACAGCCAGCCCCACAAGCAGCTGACCTTTTTTAAACCCAGGTGGGAAAGACATCCAAGGACTAGGAAGACTCTTACCAAGTGGAGTGACTCGGGGCTGAACATCTTTCAGAACTTCATGTAGCCACTCCGTGAATCGAACATAATAAAGATCGGAGAAAATGTCATCAACCCTTCCATTTTCAAAAAGATACTAAGAGAAAAACAATAAAAGTTGTTGGTAATCTCCTGAGTAAAACTCTCAGGGGAAATAAACATAATGTTACTGGTATCATCACCTCTCCATACCAATTTTTGTCTCCTTAACACACCAACACAACAGGTAAAAAATGTCCAGCATATGACACTTCCACAGTACACTTCAGATGATGTGAAATGACTCTCATGACACTCTGGAGAATTGGGTCAATGGGACAGATTTTGTGAGTGCTGTTTCACCCAGGTAAGGCAAGTAACAAAAAACATAATGCAGGTTCTGGGTCCAGCTTCTTATTAGCTATGGTGTAAGTTAAGTAACTCATATGAATATTTTTACTTTTGGGGCTCAGTTTCTTTTTAAGTGGAAATGAATGTGCCTACCTTCCAGGACTAGGGAGATCCTGGAATGAAAACAGCAATAAAGCAATTCACTCAGTGCCCTGGGTGACTGGAAAGAAAGAAGAATAAAACTGGAAGACAGACTTTTCTTAGGCCCAGGTAATACGGTGAGTCCCAACCAGCAAGTACTCTTCCATACTGTGAGCTTCTCCATAAGAGCATTTATACACTAAAAAATCCATCCCTGCTATCTTAAACTGCCAGTCCTAATCAAGTTTTCCTGTTATGCTTCATGATAGATGTCCTGAGAGTCTAACTATAGTTGTATGTTCTAGCTGGACTCAAATAATTATGTTAATGAAGGGAATAATGAGAAAAGAGCTTAATGTTAGCACCAGACTTTTTTTTTTTTTTTTGGTTAAATTACTTTTATGTAAACCATGTTTACTTTAACGGAAAAAAGACATTATATAAATGCTTTGTGATTTTTTTTTAAAAGGCTCTAAAAGGGACACCTGGGTGCCTCAGCTATTGACTGCCTGCCTTTGAACCAGGACATAATCCTGGAGACCCGGGATTGAGTCCAACATTGGGCTCCCTGCATGGAGCCTGCTTCTCTCTCTGCCTATATCTCTCTCTCTCCGTCTCTCATGAATAAATAAATAAAATCTTTTTACAAACATAAAAAATAAAAGGCTCTTAAGATATTATAACAGGGCAGCCCGGTGGCTCAGCAGTTTAGCGCCACCTTCAGCCTAGGATGTGATCCTGGGGACCCAGAATCGAGTCCCACGTCAGGCTCCCTGTGTGGAGCCTGCTTCTCCTTCTGCCTCTGTCTCTGTCTTTCTCTCTCTGTCTCTGTCTCTCATGAATAAATAAATAAAATCTTTAAAAAAAGAAAAAAAAGATGATATAACAAATATTTTTGGGCGGCCCAGGTGGCTCAGTGGTTTAGCGCTGTCTTCAGCCCAGGGCCTGATCCTGGAGACCTGGGATCGAGTCCCACATCAGGCTCCTTGCATGGAGCCTGCTTCTCCCTCTGCCTGTGTCTCTGTGCCTGTGCGTGTATGTGTGTGTGTCAAAAATAAACAAAATCTTTAAAAAAAAATTTAACAAAAGTTTAGCATAATCTAGGCGATTGGGATTATGGTGGATGTCATAATTTTATTATGATGTCATAATTTTATTTTTTTAAAGTGAATATGTTAGGTCTTTTACAATTTTTGATTTCACTCATATATGGAATTTAAGAAACAAAACAGGGTCAAAGAGAAGAGAGGGAAAAATAAAAAAAGATGAAATCACAGAGGGCGACAAACCATAAGAGACTCTTAACTCTAGGAATCAAACTGAGTTGCTGAAGGGGAAGTGGGTGGGGGGAATAGAATAACTGGGTGAGAGGCATTAAGGAGGGTACAGGATATAATGAGCAATGGGTGTTACTGCAACTGATGAAACACTGAACTCTACCTCTGAAACTAACACATTACACATTAATAGAATTTGAATAAAATTTTAAAAAGATAAAAACTCATTATATAATTGACAGAGAACTTCCTTATCATTTGCTTATCATTTCACTAATCTGAGTAACCAGCAAATACCCAGTGGGAACACTGCTCAAACATATTTCTGTGAGGTTGTTTCGTACCTTTTGAATACACAGGAAAATATAGTAGAGCACATCTGGATCATAAGGTTCACCTTCTCCATTTCGAGCTTCCCGTGTCATTAGACAGAGCCCATAATTCAACTCAGCCACAGCAGAAGAGATGAGATCTTCCTGGAATCGCAACAGTTGGCGCCCTGCAACACAAGCCAAATGTGACCCAAAAGTGAATAGCGGTCCTGGAAATAGTAATCTCTTTGCTGGTTGCTCATATCCCTAGAAGGAGAGCTCAGAGAAGATACTGATCATCAGGGAGCTAGGACAGAAATGGTCACCTGTATCTAAGATCAGAACTTGCCTATTAAGACAATAATCCTGTATGCCCTATTTACACTAAGAGTTTCCTTCTCACAATCTTCCCCACTTTACATACCTTCAAAATTATTATTAGGACCAAGACATGAAAGCAAAAACCCCACAAAATCCACACTCTGGAAGGTAAGATATGAATATAATGCTAAGGCTTTGAAGACACTCACTGGTTCCTATATCCTTCCACAATTCACTCTGCCCAGATGTGCAAGGTCCACTTCAGAAAAATATGTATAGCTATATATATATAAATATGCTGTATATATATGCAGCCTGGGTGGCTTAGCAGTTTAGCACCACCTTCAGCCCAGGGCGTGATCCTGGAGGCCCCGGGCTCAAGTCCCACATCAGACTCCCTGCATGGACCCTGCTTCTCTCTCTGCCTGTGTCTCTGCCTTTCTCTCTCTCTCTCTCTCTCTCTAATAAATAAAATCTTAAGAAAAAAAAGTGTATATAAAAATGCCAGGTCTTGGGCAAACACAAATCCTGCTCATTTGCAGCAGGTCAGACCTGCATTTGGCATACTATTTCAGATGGTAATCCCTAACCCTTGGAGCCAAGGGACACCACTTTCCTGCCATCTGTACTCCTGTTTCTTCAGTACCACTATATTTTAGAAAGAGTCCACCCACCCCACCCATAAACACTCACTCCCAATGGGTGCCAGTCTGTTCTGAGCATCCTTCTCTAGCTCAGCGTTCTTGGTCTGGGCCCAGTTTTTCCATACTTCAAGCCCTTCTTCTGGCTTCAGAGAATTTGGAAGCAGAAGTTCTGGGGAAGGCTGTGGCTGTGACTGTGGCTCAACTTCAGCAACCTGGACAGTCTGAGCCTATGAGAGAGAAACCATCAAAATGTGTCAATATTGTTTTCCATCAGGCCCTTCCATAAAACTGTTAGAAAAATGTTACCTATGGTTCTTCTAACAAAAAATATCTTTCTTCCACTTGTTATCTTACTTTCAAAGAGACCTTTGGAGTTCTTCTCCTTACCCCAGGGACAGTTAAGGCTACTGCAGTGCTTCTCATTCCTGGCTGGACTTTTGAATCTCTGAATTAAAAATACCAATACCTGGGCTCCACACGGAGATCTCTTTTTAAACCGATTATAGTCTTTCAAAAACCTTCCCACATTAAAAGGCAATTCTAAAGTTTAGTCACTGCTCAGAACTACGGGCCCAAAACACTGCTTGTCAAACTATAAAATACAAAAAAAAAAAAAAAATCACTTAACGATTTTATTAAAGTGCAGATTCTGATTTGAAACGTCTCGGGGATCCCTGAGTGGCTCAGGCACTCAGTTTAGTGCCTGCCTTCGGCCCAGGGTGTGATTCTGGAGTCCCGGGATCAAGTCCCACACTGGGCTCCCTGCATGGAGCCTGCTTCTCCCTCTGCCTGTGTCTCTGCCTCCCTCATAAATAAATAAAATCTTAAAAAAAAAAAAAGAAAATGAAAAAGAAATGTCTCAAGTGGGACCTGAAAATCTCCATTTCTAACAAGTTCCCAAGAAAGAAAGAGAGAGAGGAAAAAAAAAAAAGTTCCTAAGTGAGGGAGCTGGTCTGCAGACCACACTTTGAATACCAAGTGTCCAGAGTAGTGACCATTAAACATGGGTGTAAAAAAAAAAAAAAAAAGGGTGTACTTTAAAAACATCTGGGCTACTTTTAGAAAATACCCATGCCTGGACCTTAACCCTGCAGATTATGATTTAATTGGTCTAAGATGTGGACCTGCCATCAGTATTTTTAAAAGCTCCCAGGTGACTCTATGTCCAGCCGTGGTTGAAAATCATTTGAGAAAGAAAATACAACAAACAAAAGCTGTGTTCATTCCCTGCCACTGAAAGATGAGAAATGATAAGACCTCAAGATCTATATGGCTTCTCTAGCTATATATAAAGTTGTTTCTTTCCCCCAAAGTCCTTCTTAATAATACTGCTCTATTGCCTAAGGGCATTTCCTGAAGACAGGAGGCACTGCTCTAGCTTCCTACCTCCAAAGGAAGGGTCATCCTGTCCTCAATGGTCTAACAGTCAAGCCATGCACACAAAGGGGCAGAGCATGTCCATAACCCTCAATCACAATCCCCATATTGGGCAGGATAGACACCAACAAAGATACTAGGCATAGGTTCTTGGGTCTCACACACCTGTCTATACTTTGAACAAATTCCTTTGAGCAACTTTCCATGCCAGGGACTACTCAAAGGGCTAAGGCATGTCAAATTATTCAAATTGAAGGCAAAATATATGACACATAAATCTGCTTATCAATGAATACAAGTAAAGACTCTCCTCCTAGCTTTCATAAGATAATTAAACAAGGAGATAAATCAATACCAGTGTGAGGCTCTTGAATGTTTGTCAACCCAGAAGCTCCACTCTAGACACATTTCCCAGTTTAACTATCAATCTCCTTGGTGAGTCTTTCCCACTTTTCCAGTTTGGATTTTCATGTTTGTAGAAATTTTTGTTAACTATGGACCTCCAACCTCGACCTCCACTTAATATACCCAGGGGGTGCTGTATGTTTCCAAATGAACATCTTACAACTACCTCAAACTAACATATACAGATAGAACTCATCACCCTTTCCCATTCAGAACTATTCTCCTCAGAGTCCCCTCCCTATCTTGTTCAAAGGCAATACCATCTACCCAAGCTAGAAATCTAGAAGTCTGACTAGATAAGTAGGTGGGGATCAGGGCATGTGGGGCAGCACTTTGCTTCTGGTTTTAGCCAGGCCCCTTTCACTGTGTACCTTCACCCAATAATGTTTAACATTCCCAAGCATCTGGACAATAAAATTCTTTTATATGGTCTAAATGTCTATCAGTGGGTAGGAGAAGTAGTGAGACCAACCAGGATGAAAACTACTGATATAAGTAGGGCCTTATACACTATGGTATTAAGTTTTCTTATTTATAATGGAGTCCTTGGAGAGTTTTACACTGGGAAGTGACATAATCTTACATTAAAAAAAAATTCTTTCTGATTTATGGAGAATGGTTTGAAGAGCTAAGGTGCTAGTGGCCTAGACTAGGATGGTGACAATGGAGACGATTAAGAAATTCTGAGAAGTATGGTGGCAGAATCAAAGTGGGTGTTGATGAATAAGGGAATAAGGCTGTGAAGGGAATAAGGCTGTGAAGAATAAGGGAAAGCAACTCAAAGAGGATTCCTGTGTTTCTGGTTTAAACAAACAGGTGGATGATGGTACCACTTTCCGAGAGGGGAAGTTTTTTGGTTTGTTTTTTAAATAGGTCATCTATCCATCCAAACTATCTATTTATCTATCGATCAATAAACTCTACCCCCCAAATGGGGCTAGAACTCATGACCACAAGATCAGGAGTCACATGCTCTTCACCAAGTGAGCCAGCCAGGTGCCTTGAGAGGGGAAGTTTTCACTAGCAGTAGAGGTGATGCTAATGAAGGGTTGAGACATCTTCAATAAATCCAAGTAAATGGAAAATAGGCTGCTGGATGCATGAGAAAGGTCCAGAGGGAAAGGCATGGTCTAGAGATAAAGATCTGTATGTCACTGCAGCACAGGGTTTAAAACATGGGCTCCAGGCCAGTCTGTCCAGAGCTGAACCCCAACTCTGCTACTTACTAACTGTGGCTTTGGTTTTGTTGTTTAATCTGTGTCAGTTTCTTTATCCATAAAATGAAGTTGGTGTGAGAATTAAATGAGTTACCATGTATAACACTAAAATACTGCCTGGCATATAGTGTCAGTGACTATCATCTTCAGTGGCACCAGCCATCTAGAGGATGCTGAAACCATGGCAATAGAAATTCTTGAGAGAGAAAAGAAAGCTAGTGCTGAGCTCTGAGGAACGTTAACATGTATGGTTCAGAGAGAAGCATCAGCAAACTCTCCTGAGAAGGAAAAAGAACCAGTAGGGGTAGGAAAAAAACCATACCAGAGGAGAATTCCAAGAAGGCAGGTATGGTCTGTTGATCATATGTTGCTATGAGATAAAAACAGACAGATTGTTGGATCTGCCACAGGGAGGTAGATCACTGCTGACCTTGACAAGAACAGTCGTAAACTGAAGAGAAAACTGGTTACCAGGCAGAATCAGCTTGTGTAGATGATACTTTTGAGAACGCTGAGAATAAAGCACAGGGAGAAATGGAGCAATAGATGGAGGTGGATGTGAGCCCAAGGGATGGAGGCTTCTCCATAAATCTGGTTTTAAAGGCAGGTGATAAGAGAACTTTCATAAAGGTTTGCTAGGTGAAGAGCACAACACTGTCATCAGTTCTCCTCATACCACAGCACAATTATCTTCCCCACGGACCATGAGTACTCCAAGGGAAGAGACTCTCCATTCATATCTACTCCTCAGCACCTAGCACTAAACCTAATAAGGAGGGTAGAGGGATGTTTGTGCTATAAACGGACAAACTCATCTCTCCTACATGATGGGTATTCTCTATTTTTCCTTTTCTGGTAATACTGGACATACACTCCAATAAGACTTTCCCAAAGGAAACATTGACTCTGAAGAACACTGGCCTACTAAAATGAACTCCAAGGGTGTCTAGGAGGCTTAGTAGGTTGGGCATCTGTCTTCAGCTCAGGTCGTGGTCTTGGATCAGGCCCAGCACTGGGCTCCCCCCTCAGTGGGGAGTCTACTCCCTCACCCTCTCCCTCAGTGCTTACTCTCTGTCAAATAAATAAAAACCTTAAAAATAAATAAAATGAACTCCAGAAAAAAAATCTTTTCTTGTTTAAGGGGCCAGAAGTACAAATTACAGAGACCAATGAGCATCAAAAGAGGCCTGATCTGCAACTTGGACAATCGGGCCCAGGAAAGTTGAGAGGCCTGACATCTTCCCCAATCCTATGAGCAGAGCTGAGTTACACTGCAATTATCCAGGCTGGTCTCTCCTACGTGAAATTAATTCTACACATCTGTACTTGATTCTTCTTATCACAACTCTTAGGATTCTGGAAAAATTTCCTACATCAGATTAGATCAAGCTCAACTCTGCATTTTGGGAAGATAGATCCTTTGCTTCCCATACTAACTCCTCTCCCATAGTCCCCCTCTCATGTTGCACTAGGCCATGTTGCTTCCGTCCATCCCTGGCTCTGTAATGATGATGCTTCATTCTTGCCAGCTGAAGCTATAAATTAGAGATCAAACACCACGCTTTTTTTACAAAGACACCTCTGCTGATTTTTTAACCTAGAATGGTTTCTGAATAGTTTGTTTCTGTGTGTGTAGAGCACACAATGTCAACACTCGATTATGTTGCCTTATAGAGGATTCAGAAAACAGAAATCATATATTCTTATTCCAAAAATAGAATAAAAGCTACCTGAAGCAATGATTCTGTCTTGTTCTACTTCTAGGCCTGATAGCTAGATATTTAATAGGCTCTTAACAAAGTGACCTACAATAATATACCGTTCTCTGTAAAACCACTTAGTCAGCCTTTGCTTATGGCCTGAGTTTCTAAGTCCCTGGTCTAATAGTGCCCTGTTTATGCCAGCTCCCTTGCATGCATTCCCAGGAGTCCCTTTCCTCTGAGGCACAGTTCATTCAGCAGTCCCATGAGACCACAGGCCCTAAAGTTTGCTAACAGTTTTAAGTAATAAATTTATTCATACTTCTGAGGTATCCTTAAAAAGATTTAACAATTAGGGGCACCTGCATGATTCAGTCAAGCCTCTGACTCCTGGTTTTGGCTCAGGTTATGATCTCCGGGTTATGAGACTGACCCGAGATGGGTTCATACTCAGCACAGAGTCTGCTTAAGGTTCTCTCCCTCTCGGGATCCCTGGGTGGCGCAGCGGTTTGGTGCCTGCCTTTGGCCCAGGGCGCGATCCTGGAGACCCTGGATCGAATCCCACGTCGGGCTCCAGGTTCATGGAGCCTGCTTCTCCCTCTGCCTGTGTCTCTGCCTCTCTCTCTCTCTCTCTCTCTCTGTGTGTGACTATCATAAATAAATAAAAATTTTAAAAAAAATAAAAATTCCAGTATTTAAAAAAAAAAAAAAGATTCTTTCCCTCTCCCTCTGCCTCTCCCCTGCTCACACCATGCTTTGCTCCTTCTCTTAAAAAACAAAAAAATTTAACAATTAGAAAAAGCCAATTTTGAAGTTAGAATTTCAAAAGAGTTAAGTCTAAAATTATTTCAAAATACATTTTTCTTTTCTTTTTTAAGACTTTATTCATTTTTCTTTTCTTTTTTTAAGACTTTATTCATTCATTCATTCATTCATTCATTCATTCATGAGAGACACACAGAGAGAGGCAGAGACACAGTCAGAGGAGAAGCAGGCTCCCCGCAAGGAGCCCGATGCAGGACCGGATCCTGGAACCCTGGGACCACGCCCCAAGCCAAAGGCAGACGCCCAACCGCTGAGCCACCCAGGCGCCCCAATACATTTTTTTCAAAATAGCTTCTGTAACAGAAAATTAACCAAGGATTGATTATTTTTAAGGAACACAAAAGTACCTATAGTGGTAGCTTCTTTGATACTTCCAAAGGTGATTACTTTTAACAGGCCCACCAGAAGTATTTTAGATTTTCTAATTCACCCGTGTCCACAGATGGTAATTAAAAAAGAACAATTTCACAGCCTTTCCGCTGTGATGAGTTTACAGCCTGTGCACTAAACTTTACAGGGTTCCACAAGATCCATTCATTTGTGATGCAGAAAGTAGGTTATTAAAATCAGACAACACTCAGTATGTCCCATTAATTTTTCCCTAGAACTTTACTCTTCTTAAAAAAAGAAGGACCTGGGATGCCTGGGTGGCTCAGCAGTTGAGCGCCTGCCTTCAGCCCCAGGGCACGATCCTGGAGTCCTGGGGTCGAGTCCCACATCGGGCTCCCTGCGTGGAGCCTCCTTCTCCTTCTCCCTATGTCTTTGCCTCTTTCCCTCTCTCATGAATAAATAAAATCTAAAAAAATAAAATAAAAATATTGTGATTTAATGTGATTTTAAAAAACAAATTTCAACTTTCTTTTATCCTCTTTAAAAAGGAGTATCTGCCTTCAGCTCAGGGCATGATCCTGGAGTTCCGGAATCCAGTCCCACATCAGGCTTTCTGCATGGAGCCTGTTTCTCTCTCTGCCTGTATCTCTGCCTCTCTCTCTCTCTCCCTCTCTCATGAATTAATAAATAAAATCTTAAAAAAAAAAAAAAAAAAGGACCCAAGGTACCTTGGGTATCTATTTCCAGGTACCAGGACAGAACTCCTGCCTATTGCATAGCTTTCAACTGCTGCTTCTATTCCCCCTCCTTGACCCCAATTAAACTATTAAATACTATATCACTGCAAGACCAACATCATGGCAGTAAACAAGCCAGGTTGCCAGGAAAGTTCTGTGTTGCACAGGGCCCTGGGGAAGCAGGCTGCCCTTTAGATAAGTCTCACTTACTGAACAAGTAACCTGGAGCTGCTGCTGCTGCTGCTGTGGCGGTGGTGGCGGCGGCGTCTGTTCCTGGGGGGTTTGTTGTTGTGGCTGTTGCTGGGGGTCCCATATATGGACAGTCTGAGCTGTGTTCTGGTAGGTGCCTGCAACAGCCTGCACAGCCACTGGAATGTGGATGTTGCCATTCATGAACTGTGCTGGAAAGAGAGAGTTTGCAAGGGTCTGCACTACCTCTTCATGGGAGTTTTTCACTACAGACGTGGTGCCCACCATCTTCTCCTTGTCATCCTCCAGCTTTACAGCTGCCAGGGCCGTGGGTGAGCCACTGACGTGAACTGCATTGTAGGCTTCCTGGGGAATGGCAATGTGGGTAATGCTCTGCTGCTGAGGATCCCCACGGGGCTGGGCAGAGTAAACAGGGATGGTCCAGGTTTCTCCTGTAGGGCTAGTAATGGTCCCAGTGGCACTGTACAAGTGGGCACTGTCTACTGTCAGTAAGTCTGGCCTCAAAGACACGTAACTCTGCTGCTGGCCCTGTGGAATGGCCAGCACAGTAGCCACCGGCTGCCCTGAGATGGCATAGGACACAGTGATGGGCATGTCCACTTTGCGCTTCTTCACTGGCTGGAGGACACTGGCTGTGCCAACCCGCCGTTCCCCTTCCCGGGGTGAGCCCTGCTGAGACGGTGGTGGGGAAAGGGCACCCACGGTCTGGATTTGGATCTGCTGACCCCCGGCAAGAGACTGGCCAGCCACCAGCTGAGCCTGGATCTGTTGGTGTGGGATGTGCTCTTCTGGAATCTCTGCAGCCTGGATCTGCTGGGCTGCCTGCACATGCTGCACCTGGATCTGCGCTGCCTGCAGCTGCGAGGGGCTGGGGCTCTGTAGAGACGGAGTCTGGATGGAAGGGGTTGCCGGCTGTGGTGCTTGGCCTTGGATCTGCACCTGGACCTGGATGGGCTGCTCAGCAGGCTGGTGAACAGTGAGCTGTGGGGAGAGCTGCTGAGCCGAGACCTGCTGTGGAGACTGCTGTACCTGCACCTGTACCTGTGGCGACAAGATTCAGCAGTGAGTGAACCAGGCAACATTAAGGATCCATCCCCAAAAGGAAGAGATCTCAGGCAGGAGCCCTAGGTGATGTGAGGAGGAGGGGTTGCTATACCCAAGGCTTCTGAGGAGACCACAATCCCCAAAATCATACACAAAATCCTCCAGCATCACACGGCATTCAAAGCAACAAGTATCTACCAGAGCAAGCAGGACTATCAACTGGGATCTATGAAAATATCAGAACTTCTGCTTATTTTTAACTTTTGTTTTAAAATGTGACACCCTTTGTTTTTGCACCTTGGTATATAAGTATATAATTTACAAAAATCTATTTTGGTGTATGTTTAAAACATTGTTTACCCATGGGTTGAGTGATAAAAAGCATGGGGACGAATGTTCTGTTAAGGTAAGTACATTTCAAGGCATGCAATTCTCAACCCAAAATCAAAACTACTCCTACCACAGATCAGTGAAAAACAGTAGAAACAAAACTCTTGAAATCCCTTTTGGAGAGATCTCCCAACATTGCTACTAAAATGCAGGTACTTAATAGCTTTGTTTTAATAAAGAAGCCCATAAAAAAACCCCACCAAGATTCTTGATAATTTAATCTAAGGAAATTAGATTATACATAAAACTATATCCTGAACCACACACATTTCTAACAATAATGCAGCTCATTTCTTATTATTGTTACCTTGGCATACAAAGCATCATGAAAGGATGCCATGTGTTGCCTGTAATCTGAAAAAAAAAGATTTTTTTCCTTCAGACACACATATCTAAACTCTAAACACTGGTACGAAGTAGGAAGGTAAAAAGAAGGCAGATGAGAGATTATGTAATAACAGGAGACACATCACATAAGTAACCAAGCATGTGCTGAGATAACTGGTTATCCATTTAAAATCAATAAAGTTAAACTTCTTCTTCATATTGTACACAAAAAAAATGAGGGAGAATCTGAATAGAGGTTGGCAAATGGCAAATAAGCACATGAAAAGCTGCTCAACATCATTAGTTGTCATGGGAATGTAAATCAGAACAACATTAAGATGCCACTTGAAAGCCAGTAAGACAGCTACAAAAAAAAGAAAAAAAAAAGATAGTAACAAGTGTTGACAGGAATGTGAAGAAATTAGAATCCTCATATCGCTGGTAGGAGTGTAGCTGCTTTGGAAGTCTAGCAGTTCATCAAAAGGTTAAACATACCATATGACAAACTTATGAAAAACAACCCACATGACCCACCAATTCCACTCTTAGGTACATACCCAAGAGGAATGAAAACTATGCCCACAAAAAATGTTTACAGTAGCATTATTCATAATAGTTAAAAAGTAGCAACAACCAAAATGTTCATCAACTGATAAATTGATAAATAAAATGTACCATTTCCATAGAACAGAGTATTATTTAGCAATAAAAATGACATTTTGATATATGCTACAACCCAGATGAAACTTGAAAAACGTTATGCTTGGGATCCCTGGGTGGCGCAGCAGTTTAGCGCCTGCCTTTGGCCCAGGGCGCGATCCTGGAGACCCGGGATCGAATCCCACATCGGGCTCCCGGTGCATGGAGCCTGCTTCTCCCTCTGCCTGTGTCTCTGCCCCTCTCTCTCTCTCTGTGACTATCATAAATAAATAAAAATTAAAAAAAAAATAAAACATGGAAGGTGATAACATCATCCCATTTAAAAAAAAAAAAAAAAGAAAAACGTTATGCTAAGGAAGTCAGTCACAAAGACTAAATATTTCATGTCCATTTATGTGAATGTCCAAAACAGGACTTCTAAAGAAATAAAAAGTAGACTTGTGGTTGTCTAAGAGCAGAGGACTAGGGAAAATGTAAAGTAACGGTTAATGGGCATAGTGTTTATTTTTTGGAGTAATGACAATGTTCTAAAACTGATGTAAGGTTGCACAACTCTGAGAGTAGATTAAATAACTGCTTAATTCTTGGGACGCCTAGGTGGCTCAGTTGGCTCGGGCATTGGACTCTTGATTTCAGCTCAGATCATGATCTCGGGGTCATGGGATCAAGTCCTTTGTCAGGCTCTGCACTCAGTGGGGAGTCTGCTTAAGATTCTCTCCCTCTGGGGATCCCTGGGTGGCTCAGCGGTTTAGCGCCTGCCTTTGGCCCAGGGCGTGATACTGGAGTCCCGAGATCAAGTCCTGTGTCAGGCTCCATGCATGGAGCCTGCTTCTCCCTTGGCCTGTGTCTCTGCCCCCCTCCCCCGTCATGAATAAATAAAATCTTAAAAAAAAAAAAAAGATTCTCTCCCTCTGCTCCACTCCCTGCTCACATACACTCTCTCTTGGTCTCTCTAAAATAAATATAAATCACCATCACCACCACCCCCAGGCGGGGGCACCTGGGTGGTACAGCTGGTTAAGCATCCAACTCTTTGATTTCAGCTCAGGTCATGATCACAGGATCATTAGATTGAGCCCCATGTTGGCTCTGCACTTAGTGTGGAGTCTACTTGTGATTCTCTCTCCCTCTGCCCCTCCCACTTGTGCTCTCTGGCTCTAAAATAAATAAATCTTTAAAAAACTAACCAAACAAAAAACCCACCTCACCGAATTGTATACCTTAAATGGGTTTATCATATGAAAATGAGATCTCGGGATCCCTGGGTGGCGCTGCGGTTTGGCGCCTGCCTTTGGCCCAGGGCGCGATCCTGGAGACCCAGGATCGAATCCCACATCGGGCTCCCGGTGCATGGAACCTGCTTCTCCCTCTGCCTGTGTCTTTGCCTCTCTCTCTCTCTCTCTCTCTGTGTGTGTGTGTGACTGTCATAAATAAATAAAAAAATAAAAATAAAAAAAAAAGAGAATGAGATCTCAAAAAAGCCATTACTAATTAAAAAGCAAGGAAGTTATAAAAAGAATATAACAGACCTTGGAGTTAGACTTGAAGTTGAATTGCTGCTGTACTTTTCTAGCTGTGAGTCCCCTAAGTTTTAGAGTCCTCAGGTATAATAAAAAGGGGGGAAACACCTAAGTCCTTACACAGTTACTGTGAACATAAGATTAGGTGCTTGAAAGATAGGTTTCCTTCATTATAAAGCAGTATTTCTTTACACCAGTGAATCTCAAAATATAGTTTCCAGGCCAACAGCATCATCACCCAGGCACACTTGTTAGAAATACTAATTCTCAAGTCCCACCTCAGAACTACTGAATCAGAAACTCTGGGGAACCGGCCCAATAATATTAAGTCTTCCAGGTGACTGATGCATGCTCAAGTTTAGAATCAGTGCTTTCAACAAGGACATAAAGGAAACTATGGAACCAGTTAATACAGAACATCAATTTCCAAGTTTTTTGGTCTCAGGACCTTCTCAAAAAATTATTGAGGATCCCCATTAGCTTTTATTTATATGGATACAGGTATTGATATTTACTGTATCAGAAATTAAAACTAAGATATCACACAAACCAATCACATTAACATAAACAGTTTACTCTTATGAAAGGGCATATCTAGCTTTATTGCACTTTGCTTTATTGTGCTCACCACACAATATGGTTTTGTTTTATTTTTATTATTTTTCAAAGATTTATTTATTCATTCATTCATTCATTCATTCATTCACGATAGACACAGAGAGAGATAGAGAGAGGCAGAGACACAGGAGGAGGGAGAAGCAGGCTCCATGCCGGGAGCCCGATGCGGGACCCAATCCCGGGACCCCAGGATCATGCCCTGGGGCGAAGGCAGGCGCTAAACCGCTGAGCCACCCAGGGATCCCCCTGTTTAGTTTTTTTAAATGAAGATTTGTGGCAACCCAGCACTGATCAAGTCTATTGGCGCCATTTTTCCAACAGCATCTGCTCGCTTTATGTCTCTGTGACACACTTCGGGAACTCTCACAACACTTCAAGCTTTTTCTTTGTCTTTTTTAAAAAGATTTTATTTATTCATGAGAGACAGAGAGAGACAGAGAGAGAGGCAGAGACACAGGCAGAGGGAGAAGCACACTCCATGCAGGGAGCCTGACGTGGGACTCGATCCCGGGTCTCCAGGATCAGGCCCTGGGCTGAAGGAGGAGCTAAACCTCTGAGCCATCTGGGCTGCCCTCTTCAAGCATTTTCATCATGTCTTTTATAGTAATCTGTCAATAAGATTTTGATGTTACTAAGTTATTTGTTGTAACTGTTTTGGGCCCAACAAACCTACCCATATAAGATAGCAAACTTAATCTGTAACTATGTGTTCTAACGGCTTTAACCAACTGGCTGTTTCCCCTTCCTTGGGCCTCCCTATTCCCTGAGACAAAATAACACTGAAATTAGTCCAATTAATAACAACAGATTCTAAGTGTTTAAGTGAAAGGAAGAGTCCTTTCCAAAGGCTAAAAATGATTAAACTTCGTGAAGAAGACATGTTAAAAGTCAAGGTAGGCTCAAAGCTAGGCCTACTGTACCAAACAGTCAAGTTGTGAATGAAAAGGAAAACTTTTTTTTTTTTTAATGATAGTCACACAGAGAGAGAGAGAGAGAGAGAGAGAGAGAGAGAGGCAGAGACACAGGCAGAGGGAGAAGCAGGCTCCATGCACCGGGAGCCCGACGTGGGATTCGATCCCGGGTCTCCAGGATTGCGCCCTGGGCCAAAGGCAGGTGCCAAACCGCTGCGCCACCCAGGGTTCCCAAAAGGAAAACTTCTTGAAGGAAATTAAGAATGTTACTCCAGTGAGCACATAAACGAGAACATCAAATAGCTTTATTGCTGATAAAGAAAAAGTTTAGGGCAGTCCGGGTGGCTCAGCGGTTTACTGCCGCCTTTGGCCCAGGGTGTGATCCTGGAGACCCAGGATCGAGTCCCATGTTGGGCTCCCTGCATGGAGCCTGCTTCTCCCTCTGCCTTGGTCTCTGCTTCTCTCTCTCTCTCTCTCACTCTCCCGCTGGGTGGCCTCTCATGAGTAAATAAATAAAATCTTAAAAAAAAAAAAGAAAAAGTTTAAATGATTTGGATGGAAGATCAAACCA